GGGGGGGGGGGGGGGGGTCTTGAGGAGTGTTGGGCTATGCATTCCCAGCCAGATCAGATGATGTTCAGGGGAAATGGCATGACGGTGGGCATGCAATGGCTATTTCACCGACTGGCAAGAAGAGTTAGGACAGTGTTTATTGGTAGCACGCCCTTGATGCAGATGATCAATCACTTAATACTTCCGTGAGCAAGCCAGGAATTTGATGAATTCTACAAATGCATTGACATGGCCTCGAACACCATGCTGATATGTTGCATTCGAGTGTGGAGGAGACAAATGAACGGGCATGCGTCTTGCGTTGCTTGTGGAGTCGTCTGACACCTACCTCTGGTGTACGCAGAGGCCGAAAAACCTTTCTTGTCTGAATGTAATAGCAGCGCAGCTGGCCTCTGCCAAGCGTGCTATTCTATTCCTCCGAAGAGATTTTCGTTTTTTTGTTAAGGCGGTGTTGTTGTCATGATGCGGGATGGTGCATGCCGACGGTACAGAAATTGTTTCTGGTCCGCAACCAGAATAGTCTAAAAGAAATGCCGCGCGTTATGAAAGCGCATTTTTGAATGCGTAGCAATTTCTCTCTCAATTCCCGAAAGCTACGCGTCCGAAACGCGGCGGTGCCTACGCGCGACGAAAGCCTCGATGTCTGTCGAAGGGATTTTCAATCGAAGCGACCCCGGTGCCAAACGCAAGCATTTTTTCTTCTTTCTGCCCACATAATCTAATGCTCTTGACGTCTTTTTTGTTTCTACTTTTTTCTCTTCGCCGCAGCTGAATTGTCTGAGTTCAACAAAGCTACGACGACGAGATTCGCGGCCCTGCCTCCGTACGCACAAGCCCTCGCCAAAGCACCGAGCGTTTCACCTCGCATCACAGGCAAAGCAAAGAAAAGTACCAAAAACCTCTTCTCACAGGCGTGGCGCATGATGCTGCAATAAATACCCTCGTATCGATATTCCCGCCGTCGTTGCCGTCATTTTGACATGCTCCACTCGGCCCACATCCGTGTACAAACTACAAGTCTTAGTCTTTCCAGCACTCCAAATTCAAAACGATAGGGAGTCCACATCACACCTACCATGTACAAATAACCTCCATTGTAGTTAGGGGTCATTGGGTGTTGCCGTTGTGTAGCAAAAACATACCGCGTGCCGATCCTTCTTGGCACCTTGTATTGGAGAAGATCATGCAATTTCAAGACACGTATGTGGAACTTCTTCCTAAATAAATGCTCCGAAGGCGCTATGATTCCCGTCTGTTGCGTCCTCCAGCTTGCAGAGCAAGTCACCCCACTGGCGTGGCGCCCGGCGACGACTACTACATATCCGGGATCCCGTCCCCCGAACGTGGGAATCATGAAGGGCGAGGCCTTGCTAGCTAGAAAGTTCAACACGACTTGAGTTTGAAACTTCGCTTGTTCAAGAATCTGAGTCAGGACACCCGCGTCAGCGATAGGCCTTGCCTAAATACCCCTCGAACCCGTCACGGTCGGTCTCATGTTAGTCCACTAGTAGTCGATACCGCCCGAAACACATACTTTTGGTACTCCTCGCCCCCCGCGGCCGTGCTCCACCGGCCCCGCCACTTCTCATCACTTCTTGGTGACGCGGCGAAGGATTCCCACCGTCGGCCCCATGCACATGTTCGGAACACAAGTTCGCAGAAAACGTGCTGTTGTGACTCGTACACCCGCTCTGTGTCGTAGATGCCCGCCTGAAAGCAGGCAGTGCTTCCAATACATTACCGAAAGTGGACCGGGACACCCGAGTCGCGGCTGCCGCTTTCATCAATGACACCATTCGCCTGTCACGACGATACATGTGACTGCTGAGTCCTCTGGCACACCAAATACCTGATACGATGGGGCGGGTGCCACCAGGAGGCTGTACTGGGTGCGGGGCAGAATCACACCACGCCGATGATTCTTCAACACCAGGAATGGGCTTTGGTGCAGAGCTTTCCCGTCGCTCAGCCGTAGAGGCAAGAACCCAAGCAACCAGTGGCTTGAGGCTCGCGTCAACACCCGTAGTTCCTGCGGCAGTCCAGCATGACGGGTACGTAGCGCACAACGGGCCGCCGACAACAAACGGCGACTGCACAGGTGCCGCTACAGCGCTTGTAAGCTCGCTTTCTCTTTTGAGGGTGGGCGTATCCCCGCTCTCCGTATGTTTTCGAGGGCGATCTATGACACTCAGAGCGGGAGAATCATCCCGCTCGTGGGCTTCCTGGCACCTTCTGTCCCAAAAGCGTTTCGGGGCAATGGGGACGTTGTCCCTCTCTCCTGAACAGCGATCACCCCCCTGATCATCGCCTCTGGATAAATCCGCTCGCGGGCTTTTCCTGCTTCGAAGCAGGACGCCTCTCCCGCCGGAGCAACGCGCCGACGGTGCGGATAAAGCTAGCGGCCTTGGGATTGGGGTTTCGTCAGGGTTGTGTATACCGCCACATCGAAGTGTCCGGCTGCAGGGGGCGGACCGACCCGATGCAACTGCGACTCCCCTCCCCCGACCACGACTACGATCACGGCTATCAACCCACACACTTCGGTGGTACTGGGCGGTCCAGGGTTTCGGATCAGGTGCATGCTGTTGCTGTCGACGCGCGTATGCGCTACTGCTAGTGCTGCCAGCGGAAAGTGTCTCCTGTCGTTGCAAGGCCTCGGGCCTTCTATCTCGAGCTCCTCGTGGAGCGTAAAAAAAATGCTGATGCAGCAGTATTGCCCCTGGCTCTGTTCGGTTCTGCTTAGTTCCCCGTGTGAGGGCTTCTTTCCTACGACGCTTAGTTTTTTGGAGGCTTCTGATTGCATTTTTCCACCAAGTGAAGGCCACCTGTCGTCGGTACGGTCGCATCATGTTGCAAACGCATCGTGTAGAGCAGCGTTTTGTTTTACTGCAAACTGTTAGGTCGCCTCGGTTGTCTGTGGTATGATTGGCTGAGAACATCCAACGACAATGACGTTTTTCATGGCCTAGAGAAATGTGGCAGGTGAGCAAGACGATCGGCGCTGGACCATACCAAACAGAGCGAACCCTTTCGATGTATGTAACCCTACTTTGTCAATGATGTCATTTTCAACGCACCGTACTCGCCACCGGTGTTGATCGCATCTTTGAGTTGGTCAATACCCTCGCACCATGCCAAGTGTGATTCCTGCGTTAATTATTCCGAAAAAATGAACAATCTGTTCTCATTGAGAAATATTGTTCCCAAACTGTGATGGATTTGGCACCCCGGGCCTCGACAAAGACTTCCAATACACCCCCTTTCGACTGTGGTATTTTCTCGAACGGGTACTCTTTCAGTGGTTGTAGTAAGACTTCTGTGTTCCAAAAAAGAATGTGGCAACATCGTTCCAGAACCAAAGAAATCGTATCGAAAGCAAGCATCAAGCAGCCCGGTACCCTATGTCGGGGATAGGGCGGCAACACAACAGCGTGCCTGTGGAACCCACAAGCAAACTAAGCACGCGTGATATCAACAGCAGCAAGTATACACGAAACGAAAAGTCTACTTTTATTGTACACGCTTTTTCTCGTGAGATGCAGAAACACCCACTTACCTCAAGAATGAAGGCCGAGCTCTGAACAGGATCTCTAAACGTGAGTCTGCCAGCCCTGGTAATATTACGGGTTGCTGCAAAGAATTCCATTTGTTGTGCGTCCCTTGCTTTGTGTCTCAGAGCATGTCTTTCTGCGGCGCGACGCTTAGCTAAGGCTCGCCAGATCCCCAACACCTGTCGATCATGTTGGTCCCAAGCTGTGTGTCGGAAAACCACGAAATTAACCCTTCTCCACGAAGTAACAGGGCAGCTTGCAGTTTGAATGCAGATGGAATGGGTACGTTGCGGTACACTCCAGAAAAGGTACTGTTGTACCTTCCAGCGGTATTTCTAGACTAGTCTATCCCAATTTTGTGGCTACACACACTGCAAGGTTTGGGGGGTGACTCGTTCCTACGAGTAAAAAACTACGCCCGGAAATGTCATCCTCACCCGAGACCCGATCTTGACCTCCGTACTTGGTTGTAGTCTGTTAGTGATGAGAGGCATGCAGGCGGAAAGTTACAGCAAACATTAATTAAGATATAAGGCCATGCTCTCGACTATCCGACCCTACCACAAAGGTAGGGCACGTGGTATGTGGGAGCGCATGGTGTCTATTGCTCATACTCACTAACGGTCAATCATTCGCACGGTCTCATTGGTGTCGAATCTGCCGCCAACGAGACGAATCAAAGTAGGTTGATTGTCCCGCACTCCCCAATCCCATAGAAATTGCACAGTATTTTTATTGCTGCTGACCTCCACCTAATGCCCTCCCTCGTGTTACAGTACCGCTGCCAGGCTATCTGGCACATAGAATTTCCAATCGAACCTCACACATACACAGCAGTGTAGATCTTGTTTTATATTCAAAATATATAGGAGTATCTTGGAACTATTTCTTACATACAGCAGTAGACTAGATGGAGATGGATTCGTCATGTCAAAATAACCTCGCCTGTCCACAAAAAACCACGCACCTGCTGGCAATAGCAAACATATTTGGCATTCCCGACGGCAGGGATGCATGCTCATGCTCATGCTGTCCGCTAAAGCTCCTATCACAGGCGCCTTCACCCTCATGCTCCTCAGCTTGTTTTGGGGGCTCGTTGTCACCCGTACAACTCAAAACGCTTGTAATGCTCGACGACGGAGATGGGCAAGATTGGTACAAATGTGCTTGCGGAATCGTGCTTCCCACCGATTCGTACTGCTCATGCTTCGTCATTTCCCTAGAAGTATTGTAAGTCACCACTTAAGATGCTCTCTATCTCCGAATTGTCCTAAGTGTAGCGATGACACACGGAAGAGTTCTGAGGTGCGGGGTGTTTGGTCGGATACACAGAGAAAGAGCAAACCGTTACACAAACGCCGCCTCCGCGTGGGACTACCCGCCAGACGGAGATGCTACTACAGCACAGATTTTCACATACGCAGCCTCTTGGTTTGCTGTTGAGGTTGCCCACCCCGCACTTGACCTCGCTCCCTACCTGTTCGCGAGAACCAAGCGGGACGTTCCATGTGAGGAGCTGTGGTCAACGGGAACTCTGCTTCCTGACACAAGGTAGGCACGGCTTGGCAGAATCACGGGCAGTTTTTTTCCTGCCGTCGGGTTCGGAAGCGGGGCATTTATTAGCAAATTTAATTTTTTTGTGTTTTCTCATCTACGTGCCGTTTTCTCTCGCCGTTGTTCTGGAAGGTACTTTCGGTCGGGAGACCGTGTCGGGGGAGAGGAGGGTAGGGGGCGTCTAGAGACCCGTGGGCATAGTTTGCCAGGAGCAGCTACACCGCCTCATACAGCGGAGGTGCACACTCAGCCTGGGTCTAGAATAACGTGGTGCTGCTGCTGTGCAGGAGAAGTTTCTCCATGCTGGGCTTCAACCACGTCTATCTGATTGGGTTGCTTCTCTGCGGGTCCTCCTCATTGGGTTGCCATGCACTTCAAGCCGGAGGGAGGGTGCGAATTGTCAAAGGGCGGAGGGCGTCAACCACTGTACCAAGTAACGGATACCCTCAGGTTCACATCAGCAAGGCGCGTATCAAGGGCGGTAGGAGTAGAGCGGCGGCGGGGGGGGGAAGAGCAGGCAGACGAGCAAGCTTGACGACAACAACAACGGACCAAGCAGCAGAAGGCGGCACCGAGTCGTCTGATGGTGCATCCGAGGGCAACAGCAGGATAGCTGGCGGTGGTGGGCAGCGACGGAAGATGGTGAAGAGCAACTCGACAGCCAGCATGAAGCTCATGGCACGGTTGCGTAGAAAGGTAGGTCTTGTGATTCCGCGCCAGGTCAGGTTTTGCCTTCCGGTCGTCGCTGGTGTGTATGTATATCTTGAGCGCTGGGGTACGCAGCCATACCAGCGAATTCAGTTGCAGCACAAACAAAAACAAGACGAATTTTCAACGCCCCCCCTGCTGTTTCACGAAAGTGCCACGCAGAGCGACCTCCTGCTGTCCTTTTAGTGTGCTGCCAAGAGTCTTACCTTGAACAGCGGTACACGTTGGTTGTACCAACCCTGGTAGGGGACCAGATGGGGATCGGCAGGGTCCCTTTGACATGAACAGGCCTAGCGGGTGTGTGTGTTGTTGTGTTTTCGTCCTGTTTGTTATGGCGACAGTTCCCCCATGTTCGTGGTGAGACGTGTACACTTTTCAGCTTATGTAGGGTACTACACTTTTCAGTGTATTTTTTCGTACAACTACAACCATCCAGGGTCACCGGGTACAGCCGGAAATTGGTTCAACTGGAGCTGAATAGAATTGCCCAATCCGTAGGGAGCCGACAACCAGGTAACTCGAAATATTGTTTACCTGCCAAAATGGTTTGAGTAGCAGCGGCCAGTGCCGTGCAGCACTGGCACATCGAATGTTCGTCCGAGTATTGACGAAGCACTGGTGAGGGCAAAAGCAATTTCCAACACTGATGACGGCACTGCTGCCTACTGATGCTTGTTGATCCCGAACAGCAACGCTCTTCTGCACAGACTGTAATTTGCGTCAGTAGATCGAGATGGGGCGTTGCCGCTGCTGCTGTGGAAACGATCTCCCACGGCAGTGCGTCTTCACAGATGCATCCTTTCAGCAGAACAAATAATGACTCGCTGTATCCACCACCACCGTGATATAACTGCTGATTCACCATGTCTTTCATGAACCTATGCTTCTTCTCTCAATATGCGTATCGGTTTCGTAGATGAAAGATGCGAGACATGTCCCAGATGTGTCGAAGATGCTCCGAGACGGCCTGCCGTACCTGACGGAGATCGAAGCCACAGAGGTGCAACTGGCCCTTGCCGTGTCCATCTACGCCCACTCCAAGACTACCGCTACCGGAAGCGATACCAGCAGCAGCGCTGACGGGCATCTCGATGACCGTGTAAAGGTCAGGCCTCCCAGAAATTTGGTAGGATGGCTAACGATCTTGCTACGTTTCATCGGTGAAAACCGCATGATTTTTCGAGGCTGCAACGTTTCATGTACAAGAGTCAGAAAGGTATCAAACTGTTGCAGTGCGCTCGCCCACAAAGCAATGCTAGCATTGTAGAGTGGGGTCAGTGCCGTGGGAGAGCCGGACGGCGGCGTAATTGAACATGATATGCATACTCAGCGGAACGCAACCATCCTTCTCGGAGGGGTGTTCAAAGTTTAAGTCCGTCATTCCACTGCCCGACGCCACGCACAACTGCAATCGGAACACCAAAGGCAGGTGTCGTGCTGTAGGCGGCTCTCGGTTCAGCGTCGTTGTCTTCTCGCACGTTCCGCTCGACCGATTCTCGACAGGCCGGTGTAGAGGTGTGCCTCCAGCTCGGTCGGCTAGGCATGGGCAGGGACGCGCTGCTAGCCGCTATCCTAGGGGGCGTCTTGAGACCAGAGACCGTCAAGCAGCACTCTACGCACCCCGGCTTCGGCCGCGCACCGGTAACGGTGGTAGATATTCGGGAAGGCTTCGGCAAGAACGTGGCTCGCCTGGTCGCTGGGCTGGAGCACGTGACGTGCGTCGAGGAAACCGCACACGCGGTTCTCAGGGGCACTCCCAGCAGCGGCTCTTCCGTTGGGAATAGGTCAGGCGCGACGGCATCAGAGCGGGCAAGGCCATTGGAGGGGGAGGGGGGGGGACAGGAGGAAGAAGGCGAGCCGCTATCTCCTGCTATGCTCATTGGGGCACGAGAGAGATCGCCTGCGGAGCCCGGGGGGTGGGGGGGGAGGGGGAGGGGGAGGAAGACCCGCAGTTTGAGGGAAGCATCAGCCTTGGAGCAGGTGAAGGAAAGGTTACGCATGTCGATATAATGTTCTGGATGCTTTCTTCTGAGTTGTTCGTTCGATGACTGCATTCGATTGCGCTGTCGTCCGTAGCGTCAACCGTGCATGTCACTTATGGCACTAACTACTTCGCGTAGAGAAGAGTTGCCCAAGGTCTGGACAGCGGCGTTTAGCTTCCCATGCGTTTTACACAGAAACGAAGCAAGATCGTGGTAAGCTAGTACGTGGCCGTGTGTCAAGGAAGTGCACGCCCGAGAAATTGTTTCTCCATGAAGGTGTTTGCGGCGTGGTCTAACTCCTCGCTAAGATGCATATTCGTCGCTATAGTGCATCTACCCATCAGATGCCATCAGGTGTCGCAAACCACGACATAGTTCACCATCATGAAGTGCATGTCATACAGAACAGAGCCAACGTGGGTATTTTTCAGAGCATGTGGGAATCGGTTTGTCAGGAAAGGCACGAGATCAGGTGCTCGCGAATGACGGGGTTCACGCAAAAAGTTCACCATTGTCCGTTGTGCTGTGCGTTTTCTGCACTCATGTTGTGCGTTAGGGTGAGAGTCTTCGCAACCTCATCGTGTCGGAGGCTGCAGATTGGCAGGTGCTGACGCTCAGGCTAGCAGTGCAGCTGCAAGCGCTCAAGAACTCCACGTCGGATGGCAGCAGCTGGAAGGACCAACAGGTAAATTGCGTCTACTTCCTCTGTATCATAAGTTAGGGTACCTAAATTTGTACGGGCCCTTAACCGTGTCCGATCTGTTTTTCGATTTTTTTGTTGAAATCTTCGGAGTTTTTTGAGCAAGAAACATTTATTTTATTTTATATGCATGCGCCACCCCGCGTGCATGAGCGCCCGAGAAAAACCAGTCGGCCTGAAAAAGGCCGCATTTTGCATGTATTCTGCCCCCTCCGACCAGGGGGGGGGTTGTACTCATGTACTCATAGTCGTGCATGCCGTAGTCGTTAGACCATTGACCTCGCATCCCTACAAAGCCGGGACGGAGCACGCCGGGTT